GCCTGCCACGCAAAACGTACCTCAAGTTGCGAAAGTGTTACGCCTGCCACGAAAAACATAACTCAGGTTGCGAAAGTGCTGCGCCTGCCACGTAAAACGTACCTCAAGTTGCGAAAGTGCTGCGCCTGCCACGCAAAATGTACCTCGAGTTGCGAAAGTGATGCGCCTGCCACGCAACACGTACCTCAGATTGCGAAAGTGCTGCGCCTGCCATGCAAAACGTACCTCAGGTTGCGAAAGTGCTGCGCCTGCCACGCAAAACATACCTCAGGTTGCGAAAGTGCTGCGCCTGCCACGCAAAACATACCTCAGGTTGCGAAAATGCTGCGCCTGCCACGCAAAACGCACTTCGAGTCGCGAAGATTCTGCGCCTGCCACGCAAAACGTACCTCAGGTTGCGAAAGTGCTGCGCCTGCCACGCAAAACATACCTCATGTTGCGAAAGTGCTGCGCCTGCCACGCAAAACGTACCTCTAGTTGCGAAAGTGCTGCGCCTGCCACGCAAAACGAAGTTACCGAACAGTGTGACGTCGCATTCCAATGCGTCCGTTTCCGCACCCGCTCCGAGACCGCTCCGAACACGCTCCGAGACCGCTCCGACCAGACGCCGCGAACAAGCTAGATTTCGGCTCTTCCAACACGCGAAAACACGCAGAGGGCTGCACTTTTTCAACTGCTCTATTCCCCTGCCACACGCGCACGCTTATTTTCTCGCATGCGCTTATTCTTCCCTTTATTCTGCTCTGACAGCTAGCTTCATTTAGTTGCCGCAACACGGAAGTTCTTCTAAATTTCCTTTGATTAAGCCTTATTATGCGTTCAGGGGTGCGCAAACATACGTACAATCATGCAATTTTGAGGCCAGTGGGCGGACTCTCTAGGTGGATATCACCGCCCATCTTGGCTCAAGGTCAACAACCTTGCAATATTTTCCCTAGGACACTAGGGCGCCGTAACAACCAAACCCTCGGCGAGAAAACGGGGCACGTCCTGCGCGGCCGCTGCGGGTACGGGGAATCCAACAATAACCTGCCCACCATTGCTGCGAACATAGGTTATCAGCCGTAAGGCACGGCTTGATCCCTCACTGTCTACCAGTTCGGCAACCACGTGCGAGGAGCTGGAGGACGGGAACTCCTATTGGGGAGCGGGATCGGGAACTGAGCTAAGAGACCTAAGCCCACGTTCCACTGCGATGTCCAACGACAGTCACATCACCGCCAGGTTCGGGGAATCCACGTCATCTAGTGGTGGAGACTCCTTGCTGTGTGCTATGCCGGCCTTAGGGTCTCCTGGACAGGGGTCTGCTGCTTTGAGCGGGGCCGGAAGGGAACTTACTGTCAATTCCCCTGACACGCAAGGAATCCCTCAAATCAGCGAACCAAGGTCGTTGAAGCCACCACTCCTAGCTCACCAAGGTCTGTTAAGAGACATGACCCTGATGAAGATTCACCGCAAAGGGAGCACGGAACGTCCTCTCGCGGTGGACCCACCGGAGAAGGACCAATGAAGTCCCTACGGACTGAAAATGCTCCTGCCGCCAAGAGGGCGGTATCCCCAAAGGGCTCCGGTGTGATGGACGACAAAGACAGGCTCTTGCAGATCATCCATGAATTACGTGACCGCGTAGACGACCTACAGGAGAACAAGGTGGAATTGGAACGTGAGTGCTCTGGATATCTCACGAGGGTCGAGATGCTTGACCGCATGCGGATCAACTCCGAGAAGCAGGTTGAGCGCATCATGAACACGGAGGGCGGTCTGAGATCAGCCTTTGACAGAAGCAAGGCCAGGATTGCCGGAGTTGCAGCTGAGAGGGACTCCCTCATGGAGGCTTTGAACCGCATCAATGCCAATGCTGAGAACCTCGTGGCTGAGAGGACCGTCAACATCGAGAGAGAGGCCGAGGCGAGGATTGGGGCGGAAAGGCTCCGCATCGAAGCCTTGGTCGGAAGTGAGTACGAAAGAATGAAGCAGAACGAGGTCACGGTCATGAACGAGAAGCTCAGAAGAGTCCATCTCATGGGTGAAGAGGAGGCTGCTCGATACAGGGCCGAATCCCCAACTGCTCGAGACCAACTTGCCACAGTCTCGCAGGAGATGAGGACGATGCGAGAAACGGAGACCTGGGAACAATGGGTTGCTCATTTGAGGAACTTCGTGGAGCAACGAGATCAAGAAGTTCGAGGCGAAATGCTGGCTATGGAAATCGAGAAGCTCAGGATGGGTCAGGAACTGAGCGAGAGAAATGCTGCGCATGTCGCCAGAGATCAACGCCCTACGGTCCGAGCTGTCTCATCTCCGGACGGAGGGACAGACAGAGAAGGGCAAGATGCAAGTGGAGCTGGCCTCGCTGACTGCGGAACTCAAGGCTGTACAGGCACTCAACCGACATGTGGAATCCTACAAGGAAGACTCCAGGAAAGTAGAGCGAGAGGCCAGAGAGAGTGTCAAGGAGCTGCGCAACGAGCTGTACGAGACGATGTCTGGCTCCAAGGACAAGGACATTAGGATCTCCGACCTCGAAGCGAAGTGCAAGAGATGAAAGAGACCAGTACAAAGACATCCTCGAGGAGCAAGAAGTCCTTGATGACGGAGAGCCAACTCATCCGCCCGGTTTAGGCGGACAGGGATCGACCAGTGTGCCAGGAACCCTGGACACGGGTCGAGAAAGTATGCCGGGGAACCCCGGATACGGCTCTAGCGTAGCAGATCTGGCACTCCAACACATGTCAAATCCTCATGGTGGTCACGAAGGAAGGCCATCAAGCGCGAGATCCGCACCTGCACCTTCCGGAATGTATGACTCGGGAAAACCAATGCCATCTTCGACGGGTGCTGAAGCTGGGATCTCGCACAAAGAGGCGGAATCTGTGAAGGTTCCTAACTAGCCTAAACCGAATGGGCTGACTGTGTGGAAAGCCACGTTGGCCAACGCCATATGCGCTGCCAGCGGAGATCCTCGAACGGACATGTGGCACAACTGGATAACGGAGGCCTTCGCCCCGGACGCCGACGCTGGGAAGCTCTCAGATAGCGGGAACGACAGGTTCCGGAGTTTGGGCCAGAAACTGTTTGCTGCTATGGTGGGCATGGTGAATAATTCGGGCGAAGGCGGAGCCGATGTTCGCATGGAACTAGACATGTTGATTACGCGCAACATGAACCGCGGAATGCAAACTACCGGGAGACAGATCGTTTGCCTGGTGCTCCAGAACTTCAGGACCCACGAACAACTTGACATGGTCTACACCTTGGGACACCTCGTGGATCTGAAGTTCGATGGAGACAAGAAATTAGCGGAATTCCGGAGGAACTGGCACGAAATCCTGGAGAACATGAAAAGGGAGGACATCCCTGGATCTTGTACTTGAAGATTAAGGATTCCAAGGCCATGGAGTTCGACTTGAGGTACTACAGGACTCTCAAGGAAGGCAGCGGAGAGAAGACTCTAGAGTACTTGATGAATTCAATCGAGAGAACGATCCAAGCCAGCAGAGAGGAGAAGAATTGGGAGATGAAGAATCGCGCCTTGAAGGACTACAGACACTCGAACGCCATGCCCAGTCAAGCCGACAAGGATGGCAAGAAGAAGAAGGACGACGCTAAGGGCGAGTCCGACGCAGCACGTGTTCGTCCAAGGGCAAAGTCCAAAGGTAAGCCGCGATCGCAGAGCAGAGGGAGATCCCCTGGTGCGAAGGGTGGCAAGGACACTCCATGCTATCACCGCTTCTTCAAGGGCAGTTGCAAATTTGACAAGAAATGTCAGAGGAGTCATGACCCGAAGACGTACACAAGGAGTATAAGGATAGATGGAATAAGCCCGGGAGGGGGAGAAGCCCTTCCCCCGCAAATAAGAAAGACAGAGCCAAAATTGATTGCACCTTCTTAAGGGGAACTGTAAGAAAGGGTCATTCCGTACAAGCATGACGGCAAGGCTGCGCCCCCTCAGTCTCCTAGGTCATCTTCTGCAGGAAGTGACGACAGGAAGTGGAGGAAGGCGCAGGAAGAAGAAGAACTCCGACAAGAATGAAGCCAAGGCTGCTCCGGTTGTCCGTGCGGACACGTACTGGAGCGATTCTGAATCCGAGATGAGTGCTGATGAATATTGCTCCGAGCTCCTGCCGTGAAGGGGTGCCTGAAGAAGGATAGACGAGCTCGAAAGGAAGCTGACTTGGTTCGCTTTGACTCAGTTGTGGTCTTCGACGACGAGACGTACCAACCTTGCCACTTCCCGGAGAGGACAGCTGGGAGGTCCCGTGGTGAGAAGAAGGGAAGGAGTGCCACGGACATTAAGTACGACCAGTTCCAGGAGAACGTTATGGACCACCTCAGGGCACACTACTTCGGCAGGATATGGGAGGCTCACGTCAGAGGTGACGACGACCCAAAGATTAGAGTACCCATCAACAATAAGCTCACGATGGTCTTTGTCTTCGACAAGAACAAGGATCAACCTAGTGAGGAATGGAGCAAGAGACGCGACAGCGATCGACCATATCCTGAGGAGATTGAAGGACAACCCGCCATCAGACATGCGCCACAGACTCCAAAGCTGGGCGAAAGCTCATGGATACGGGATAAGGATATGACCTCATCGGCAAGAAGGAGGCTGGCCGACTTGGCGCAGTGATTCGCGAGAGCGAGCGCTCGATGACCTTTCATACAGCCAACGGCACGACGGACATGAACGAGAAGGCCGACATCTTTGTCAAGGACCTCGATGAGACTGTGTCCCCATTCGTCATGGATGAGTCGCCCGCTGTGCTGTCCATAGGCAAGAGATGCGCCGACGAAGGATATTCCTTCTTGTGGATCAGGGGGAGAACCCATTGATGACCCCTCGTGAGGGCCATCCTGTCGTGCTCAAGGTGAAAGACTTGACGACCATCAAGATGGGGATCATATCCTCCGAGCTCATCGGCATCATCAATGAGAGAAAGGAATCAGCATGTGAAGACGATGATAACATTGCAGAGGAGTGTTTTGGCCCTGATGAAATGATCACCGTGGCCGCCGAAGCCGGCAACAACCCCAAATCCCCGGCCGGAAAGCAGGTCGTCGACGTCGCTCCAGGAGTACCGGGAGAACCAGACGTTCGTGATCCGCCAGAAGGAGGGGCGGCTGACGATGGGGTCGACGATGACGATGAGATAGAAGTAGAAGTAGGTCATAGAAGAAGAAAGGGAACCCTGAAAGCAGAGGCAACCACTACGGAGCACATCTTGACTCACAGGTTTGCCAACCCGTATTGTGACGCCTGCGTCAGGGCGAAGATGAGACATCATCGAACGTATCGGAACGCCTTCAAGAGACCTCTCAAAGAGTGGGGCGACCTAATAACGTTCGACTGGATCACCCCGGAGAGAGTCGACAGCCTAGGCGTCGAAGGAGACAAGGAGGTCTTCACCATACGAGATGTCTATTCCGGGATGATGATGGCCTACCCGTGCACTGATCGAGGCACCGAAGAAGTCATCAGGTGTCTGAAGGATTTCATCGGCACGGGGAAGGTCAAGATCGCGTACTCAGACAACGCAGATGAGTTTCTGAGGGCCTGTAGAGCTCTCGGGATACAGCATGATACTTCACTGCCTGGTAGGCCCCAGAACAACTCGCTGGCCGAACGGAATGTATTGACGGTCATCGACCAAGTGAGGATTTGCGTGCTGGCGGCGGGATTGCAGCCGTGCTGCTGGTCTTTCGCCCTGAAGGCAACCTGTCACCTGATGAACCTGGAGACGGTCGAGGGCGAGAGCGCATGGTCGAGGGCGAAGCTGAAGCTGTTCGATGGACCTCTTATACCCTTTGGAGCCCTCGTGGACTTCAAGCTGTCGGCGGCAAGGGACACGACCCACAAGTTCGCCCCTAGGGCTATGCGAGGAGTATTTGCGGGCTACTCAATTGGAAGTGGGGTCGAGTGGCGTCGGAAGATGCTCGTCTGGCCTCTTGAAGCATTTATATGTGCTGATCTGAAGAACGATTGCAAAACGTTGCCGGCCAACCTCAGACGTCCACATGTTACGGAAGTCGTAAAGATGGCCGAGCCAATCCAATTCCCCCTGAAGGCGAGATTCGAGAAACTGAATGGATCGGAGGAGGAGTATTTGACCGATCGGGAAAGGCTTGACAGGCTTGGTGAACTCGATGATGAATACTCGGCAGAACGTGATGACGGTGATGATGGTGACGAACCTCCACCTGATGACGATCGAGGGGGGAACGGAGAGAAAGTCAAGGAACTCTTCGGCGTCGACCTTGAACCCACCGATGGGGAAATCCCCGCGGTTGGGGGCAGAGAGGCCGACATTCCTGGGTCACCAGATCTTGATGCTCTCCTAGATGGCGAGGATCGTGGAACCTCGAACGCCGGCGGTCACGGGAGCAAAGGATCGCACGTGCCAATGCCCGTTGGAATTCCGGAAGGACCCATAATAAGGTGGAGGCGAGTAGATATCGGCGCGAAGAGCTCCAAGACCACCAAGGAGGGCGGCCCGAAGTGGAAGCCTGTGGTCGGGAGAACCACCATCGACGCCAACACCGGGGAGGTCATTGAATGCGTCAAGATCAGCCAGGATAGACCTGAGAATGAGTACAGGGACGAGATCGCCGGGGATGAACGAGACCTTGACACCTACCTCTGGCACACCGCTGACGGTGTTGAGGCAGCACCTGATCCTCCACGTCATCTCAGCGAAGGCAAGGCCGCGGATGGCATCATCTACGTCAATGACCACGGGAAGTATGTCAAGCTGGATATACGCGGACGCCCTTATCCCGTTGATGTACATGGTAGGAGGACTGGCCTTGGGTCTTCGAGGCCGGACTACTATACCCCCGAAGAATGGTCAAAGTTTAGCGGCAGCGATCGCAAGATGATGACCCGAATTGATGAGGAGTTCAAGAAGGAAGAGGAGAAGAGGGCCAGGAAGCTAAAGGCTGCCGAGAAGAAGGACAAAGAGTCCAAGAAGAAGAAGAAGAAGAAGGGGGAGGTGCTCCCAAGAAGGATGATGATCCCGCGGCACCATCAGTCGAACAGCTCCGGACGGAGCTGGATGAGTTCAAGAAGTATAACAAATGGCTGCTGCAACAGACCAAGATGCTTGACAAGCAACGGCCAATAGAAGTTGATCCGAAGAGGCCCCTCTCCGGAAGGTAGGGAAACAAGCACTGGATCATCAAGAGGATGAAGGTTGGCGGCGCCGAGTCCGAGCAGTGTTGGAACATCATGGCCAAGAATCTCGTCGGGGAGGTGATCTACACCATCATCTTTGACAAGAACAAAGGGGAGATCGTCATGATGAACAAACACATTGTCCTGGACGCCGAGTCGGGTGTGCTCAAGGAATTCAAGAGGTTGCTTCTTGAAGGAGACGGGCGGATAGTTGTCGTCTGCGGGATCGTCGATGACACGAAGCCTGTCATGAGCACCGGCCGAGGACCCTCGGCGGCTGCCATCAGCGATGACGAGAGCGACACCACTGCGCCTGACTCCGACGCTACTAGTCTCGAGTTCGGCGACGGATCATGGGATGAGTGGGAGGATTACGCTCATCGTGAAAATGAAGATCCACCAACGAAGGCAACAAGTCTCCCTAAGGGGAGTCCGGCTATGCCTTGTATGGTTGTGGACAAAGTGGAGAGGCACCGGCAGAAGATTGGTGTGGAAATCCCAAGGGTCTCCAATGCAATGGTCTCCCGCCCAGTTGGGCGAAAGGAGATGATGACAGACCCTCGGGCGAAGGCATCCATGCTGAAGGAATGGCAAGGGCTGTTCGAGCAGGGAGTCTTCGACCTCTCAAGCGTCAGGGAGTACGACGACGTGGTCAAGGAGGCCAGGTCGAGATCCGAGGACATTCACATCGCGCGAGCCCACGACATCTGCGTCGAGAAGAACTATACTAGTACCAAGACATCGACCCGAAACGGAAGTTTAAGGGTAGAGTGGTGCTGCTGGGTAACCAAGTCAAGAACCAGGATATGGGCGCTGCCCTGTTCCAGGACCTCGGCAATGCTCCCGCAACGTTCGAGGCATCCCGGTGGGCTGACTTGCTAGGATGTCTTGATGGATGGGATGCGCAGATCGCGGACGCGATCCAGGCCTACATCCAGGCAAAGCTAAAGGGTCCAAAATGCTGGATCGAACTTCCCAAAGAAGCATGGCCGGAAGGTCAAAAATGGGAAAGGTTCCGAAGGCCAGTCGTAGTGCTAGTGAAGGCTCTTTACGGTCACCCGGACGCGGGCACCTTTTGGGAGCAACACTGCGACGAAGGGGTCAGAAAGGTGGGCTTTGAACCCATCGGTCCTGATTGGCCATCGGTTTACATTCACAAAGAAATGCAGCTCCTTCTAGTTGTCTACGTTGACGATTTCAAGATGGCCGGTCCCAAGAAGAGCCTCAAGAAGGGGTGGGAGTTGCTGAGACAGGAGTTGAAGATGGAACCCGAGACATCTCTTGGTCTTTACCTCGGATGCAACCAAATCAAAAGCTCCACGACACTTGCGGACGGCGCCAAGGTGAACACGGTGACGTACGACATGGAACATTATCTTGACATGACCGTTAAGAAATATCTCGAGGTGGCTGGGGAAGGCACTAAGCTCAAGAAGGCTAGAACGCCCTCCATGCCTGAAGAGACAAAGGGACACCAAGCGAGGGCCCCATGCAACGGGGAGAAGAGCATTCAATGCCCTTGGTGTCAGAACCAATTCGACCCCAACACTCCATTCGTCGGGAACGACGAGGATGAGTCCGAGAGTGCGCGTGAGGACGTCAGGGGGGAGTTGGCCCCACATGCCGCCAGTGTGCTCATGAAGCTACTGTACGCGGCTCGGATCGCGCGGTTTGACTTGCTGCGCCCAATCAATGCTCTGGCTCGACATGCTACGAAGTGGAACAAAGAGGGCGATGTCAAGCTTCATCACCTCATGTCCTATGTTGAGTACTCCAAACAATGGAAGATGACGGGATGGGTCGGCGACAAGCTGACGGATTTGCAGATAGCTCTGTTCGCGGACGCGGACTTCGCTGGATGCGCCGACTCGCTGAGGTCGACTTCGGGATGCCATGTCAATGTGCAAGGCAAACACACTCGATTTCCCATCATCGGTAGCAGCAAACGGCAAGGTTGTGTCAGTCACTCTACGCCTGAGGCGGAGATCGTTGCGGCCGACACCACTCTTCGATGCCATGGGGTGCCTAATGCTGTGTTTTGGGAACGCGTAGTGGGCACAAAGCCCAAAGTCATCATGTTTGACGACAACCAGTCAATGATTGCTGTGGCAAGAACTGGGCGCAACCAAACCATGCGACACCTGGAAAGGTCACACGGCGTTAGTATCACCTGGCTGCATGAAACCTTTAGACAGGACACTTATGACCTGGTGTATGAAATTACCTCCAAGATGGCGGCAGACATTTACACCAAGGCTTTCACGGACCCCGTGCGGTGGGAACATGCTTGTTTGCTGATCAACCTGCTTCGCGAGGAGCAACTGGAGAAGAAGGAGACTCTGGAGGCCCTGCGGCCGTCGCATGATGCCAAGACTGGTACACGACAGGTCTATGGTCAGAAGGTTGGGGGTATTCCCACTTTTCCCAATACGCAGACCCCAGTGCTCCCATCCGAGATCTACCGTGATGGCATGACCTCGAAAGAGGGATTGCGCGAACATGAAGGAGTTGACCCCTTCGTGATTGTTAAGGGACCACGAGTGAAACGCTTCAGTCCGCCTGGCTCGCCATCCGGACAGAAGTGGCTTCGGTCCACATGGTACCTCAAGAATGGTTCTTGGTCCAAGGCTGAGGAACGAGTGGATGTCCGACGGACTGGGTCGACCGAGCGGTCTTCCAGTTTCATCCCCTCAACACAGCCGTTGCGGCCAGATCGCAAGGACCTTGTGTGACAAAGCCAAGGCCCGCTGATTCGTGGCGGATCGAACATGATCGCCTGGTCAGGGTGCATGTGTCGCCCCGTGCAGAATTGTTCGACCTCGCGGAATGTTCCCCTCCACGCCAAACCCCGGAGTTATCTGGCCTACGGATCACCAAAGTCTGGCATGATGGACAATAGCACGATGACGACTGCCAAGACACTACTTGCCCGTTTCGGGGCGCAACGTGGATTTGTGAAACTCCTTTCCCTTTTGGCTCACATGCAGACACTGCCCTGGCTGCGCCGTCGCAAGGACCTGTCTCATGGCCCAACCTCGCAGAGAGTACAGGAACCACGCAACAGCCTGTCGCTGTGCATCGAATTGGTGATGTTCGGTGGATGCGGGTGATCAAGGCCTTTGCAGCCCCCGCTCAAGGGGGGGATGCCCCTCTCATGACGAACGACACTGATGCACCTATTTTTACAACAACACATACAGACGAGCGCATGCGTGTCCCACACTTTGCTTCATGGAGGGTGAGCCAGCAGGATGGTCAACGTCAACAACTAGATAAGATTGAGGTGTCGGTTGAGATTCGCAGTTATATGGCAAGAAAGTCCATTTGAAGAAGAAATACATCATCAACGACGCCAACAGATCGCTTTCCCTTGACCTGAAGTTCTACGAACCCAACCCCAGGTACCCCAACTTAGTCCTCGCCTGCGCTGATGAGAAACCACTGTTAATCATTGACTTCGACCAGAAAGGGGTGAATACTTTCTTGCTCCGCGCCCCGGCCTCGCGGGACAGGCCCATGATGCATGATATGCATGGCGAAGATGGATGGCTGGCTGGTTGGATGGCTGGCGGTCGGAGGATGGATGGCCGGTTGGATGGATGGATGGCTGGCTGGCTGGATGGCTGGCTGGTTGGATGGATGGCTGGCTGGCTGGCTGGCTGGCGGTTGAATGGATGGCTGGCTGGCTGACTGGATGGATGGATGGTTGGCTGGCTCATTGGCTGGCTGGATGGACGAATGGATGGATGGTCGCCTGGCTGGATGGATGGATGGATGGCTGACTGCCCACCACCACCCACCACCCGCCACCCGCCCACGGCTGGCTGGATGGATGGCCGGCACACTGGCTGGCTGGATGGCTAATGGATGGCTGGCTGGCTGGCCGGATGGATGGCTGGCTGGATGGCTGGATGGTTGGCTGGCTCATTGGCTGGCTGGATGGACGAATGGATGGATGGTCGCCTCGCTGGATGGATGGACGGATGGCTGGCTGCCCACCACCCACCACCCGCCACCCGCCACCCGCCCACCACCCACCACCACCCACCACCCACCACCCGCCGCCCACCCACCACCTGCCGCCCACCCACCACCCACCACCCACCACCCACCACCCACTACCCACCACCCACAACAACAACAACAACAACAACAACAACAACAACAACAACAACCCTGGCGAGCGCGCCGCAGGCGTGCGAGCGCGCGCGCGCGCGCACCATCACGATCGGCTTGGGGCAAACTCGCCCCCAAAACCAAAGGATGCAGGGGATGCAGGGCATGCAGGGGATGCAGGGCCTACCGAGCACGCTGGCGATGCTGGCAATGCAATGCAGCCGGCGCGCTGCATATTTACAGTGTTTTGAGCCCTTTTCAGCCCCCCACCACAGGCACCACGCATCATCTGCATCTCCAATGTCGGCGGATAGAGCCGTCAGTCGGAAAGGCAAAGCCTTGGCATGCGCCCCTTTGGGCGAATAGCACGGCTCGGCCGGACTTTAGAGCCTCCGGCTCAGTCCGCCGACATTGGACATGGCTAGGGCCCTCCTTGGTCCTGGAAGAGAGAACACGACACTGTAAGATGTGTGTTCCGAGAAAGTGTATTTGTGTTTTACAGCGTGTGCCAAACTGGTGTGCGGTTTGCATGTGTGCTGTGGGTATCATATTTGGTTGTTGAAAGAATCTTCTCACTGCTTTGCCTTGTGTCATTTTGTGCTTTCAATGTGGGCGCTCCCCAGGATAAGTTTGGCTTGCTGTACGCGCACCTCCAAGCTCAAGCAGTTAGGATAGTGCAGGCATGAGGCCATAAATCTCGGGTTCCATGCCAGGCCTTGCAAGCCGTTCGAACAGGAGGGCGTGGTTCACTCATGGCAATTCAACGCATATTGTACTCCGGAAAAGAAGAAAAAAACGAAAAGCTGCATCAGGCACCCTCAGCGTAGCACCGGCAGGAAGGGGAACAACTGTGTTCAATGTGAAAACCATACGGTAGAAAACTCCTTGTGACAAAGGGAAGCCTGACTTACCATCAATTCGAGTCCTATAATCGTGCTGGGTGCGCTTTACAAGCACAGTTGTGCCACTGTGGAGGGGGAATCTTGTTGTCCACCCAATTGGGGCTATCAGGTTGCCATCAAATCAAACAGAATTAATGACAGCATTTGCTGGTCCTGCGACATCTTATTAGCTTGGATTAGACAACTCGGCAGAGAGACGTGCCATGCTTGTGGAGCTGGTAGCCACCGGAAGGCCGGCTTTGCCGTCCACGCGGTTTTTGACCAACTTTTGCAGATGCAGACGCTCGAAATATGGAATTCACCTTCACAGTGGGGCTTCACTGGTCTGCAGACCTAGCCCCAACTTGGCACCATTTTCGCGAAAACATTGCAAAACACGTGGTTTCGGAGCGACTTCTGGAAAGGCAGGCCCCAAATTATGGAATTCGCTTTAACAGTCGAGCTGAATTGCTCCGCAAGCTTGCGGTTCCAAGCGGCAACGCGCAGGGGATGCTGGGGATGCAGCTGGCTAATGCCGGGGAAGATGGCGATGCGGGGGGCGAACCTCGCGGTTCCAAGCGGCAATGCGCAGGGGATGCTGGGGATGCAGCTGGCTGTTTTGGAGGGGATCCCCCCCCCAGGCGGACCAGGGGGGATTCGAGCCCGCGCTCCCCCCCCCAAAAAAAAGGCTGCAGCAATACTAAAATAAGTGAACGTCACCAAATCGCCGGGCGGTACGTCACAGGGAGGCCCCCCCCCTCCCCTAAAACGTGCGTATTAGACGTCCGGCGGGGGGGGGGGGTAGGGGGGGGGGTTTACCTCCTATCCTTCTTATATGTCCGACACGCCGAATAATGTCGGCGGATTATTCCCATCACTGAGCAGGATGATTCCAATGAAGGACGCTTCGGGTACCGGATCGCAAAGGCTGCGCTACTTAGGCACTGTGATGTCATTTTCTTCGCGGGTCCTTGCACTGGGGGGTTGTCGTGGAGCAGGTTCAACATGGCTGTCGGAGAGGCAACAAGACGACTGGTCATGTCTAGGAGAAAGACGTTCTGGAAATTGCGGAGATCTTTTGAGCATATTTCCCTCGATGCATCCAATCATGGATGTGGATTTTTGGTTGAGCTTCCACGCGGGTGCGCATATTGGGGGGAGAAGCGCACGAGGGACTTCTTTGAGACATTCTCTTGCAGGACTTTTGACTTCGACGGATGCATGTATGGTTTGAAGCAGGTCAAACATAAGAGTCAACTCCCCATTAAGAAGCCTTGGAGGATTGTGGCCCACAAAGTGAAGCTTCAGGGATTGGAACTGAAGTGCGATACATGCTCCCTGCGCTGGTAATGAGACCAAGCCCACGGAGGTTTACACTTCTGAGGTATGCAGAACCATTGTGAATGCGATTGTCTCTGGCAGGATTCGCACCAATGACGCTGCAGGTGGCTCGAATCAGATGAACTCACGTGTAGAAGAGTCACTCTCACGGGGTAAGAAACACCACACTCCATGTGCTTGTTGCATTGCCATGAAGATTGTCCACAGAGACAACGAAAAACCAATGTTGTGCACTCAACAAGACTTGTACAACAACAGCAAGACAAAAAGTCAACTTCAGTCACCTTTCAAGTTGAAGGACGCGGCTGGGACCCCAGCGCCTCCCGATCTCGCAAGCTACTCTCTGCCGGGGAACCCCACAGAAGTAGTCATGGCTGAGACTCCTGATGACCAGGCACTGTGCCCGCAGATGGCTGGCGTCGGCATGTCCCTGTACATGCAACAGCTGCTCCAGAAGTTCGTTGCGAGGGGGATGCTGCTCCCGAACGCGTACGATGACAGCGATGGCCGGGAGTACCCCATCGACGCCGCGCTGAACTGGATCGCACTGAGGATGCCAAAGGTGGCGGTCTTGGCCGCCCACTACTTTGATGCCGCCGAGGAGATGTTGGTTGCCCTGGATAAGGGAAAGGAGATCACCGTCAAGGAATTCCTAGAGCTGCCGGATCTGACGTCCACCGAGGAGAAGGTGCTGGTCGCCAACTGGGGGAGCAAGATGTCGCAGGCTCGAGACGCTTTCTGGCTTGCGGTCTTCCAGAACAACCCAATCACTGAGTACCCCGCCATCATACAAGATGGTGGATGAACTCCTGGACGACCTGGAAAGGTCCATGCACACCCTGGCGTTCGCCATGAGGAGAGCATCGGACCGCTTTAAGGAGCCGGCGAGCGCGCCGCAGCTGATTAGGGACATCATCACCTACAACTCCTCCCGCGACGAGTGCAATGCGTGGGCTTCGGCCAAGTGCTACCTCCAGCGCATGATGTACGTGGCCCGCTGCCTTCACCTTATCGACACCAAGCGCTTCCACGTCGCTGACGAAGACGCCGACCGGTCAGCACGTTTGAGCTCACTGAGGACGTGATCAGTGCTGGATGGCATGTGATGAAGGAGTACAACAAGACCGTCTCTAGGATGGCCGGGCTCAGTGTGCTGGAGTTCTGGAGGGACTACGTCCAGGAGATTGACTTCAAGCGTGCTCAGCGCGAAGTGATCCCTGAGTACCACACTAATGACGGGCGTGGTCCTCCTGATGCCGAAACGGGTGTGCCATGGAAGTTCCCTTTGACCGGGTGGTATGTTGGGACAAGGGGGCGGCGTGCGCCTATGCCCAAGTCGAGGGCTGAGCCGACGGGATTTCCCGGAGGCGAAGCCCCCCCTCGGCCGGGCACCCCCGGCGAGGGGGGTGCGCCCGAGACGACTGCCCCTTCCACGGGACAGAAGGGGTCGTCCGCGCCCCCTCCTGCGCCTGAAAGCGATGTCCGGTGGGTCCTTGACTACATCGACGACCCTGTTGGATCTGATGGAGAACCCTCTCCGACTCGGTTCTGGGGAGAGGCCTGGCGCAGATTGGGAACTACCTCTCGTCATATTGTCCTTTGAGGCCCTCCTTGATAGCGACTCCGGCATCCCTCAGGCGGCGATGAAGGACATCAACGGCGCGATGAAGCCGGTACACCAGTCCCTGCAAATTCAAGGTCTGAGGGTCACGCCAGCCACGCTGATCTCTGACCTGGTGATGTACAATAGCTCCGGATCCGGAGCTGTCACCTCCTTGGGAGACGGGCTTACAGACTACGCCACGTGGGGGAACACCAAGGGCTACTTCCCTGGAGGCATTGCTGGAGTGAATTTCCCCGATGGAGGTAAGAACGTTCGGTCCAACTGCATGGTCGAGGGATTGGACTATACGCACTCCTGCAGCCCACCTTCTCTGGCGATGAGACCGTCCATGTCTGGATTGCGTTCACTGACTTCACCTACAACAAGGGACAGTACTGGAATTTCGAACCCGATGAGAAGAAAAGTTTCAGGAAATCCTCCAGAAGCTTATAAGGATCTGTCCGAGAGGATGGTGAGACCGATGACCGTGTCGGTTGCTTCTACGAGCGTGGTGCACGGCACGGGATGCCAGCGCTTATCGGAGTACACGAAGGCCATCAAGAATGAACTGGGCCAGACGTGCGTGGTTCTGGACGATTAAGGGCTTTTGGGAGTCCCTCGCCACGAGCCGGAAGACCTCTGGATCAGTCGAGCACCTCAAGTGGCGATATGCCCTGGACACCGTAGACAGGAGGCTCATATACGAGACCGCATTGCTCCTGCTTGGGTTCCCGTACTCCACCATTAATCGGATGGACGAGGAAGTCGACAACATCATTGCTGGTGGGCGGCGGCCGAAGAAGGCTCAAGAAATCAGCGTAGCCAGACCGGTAAGAGCGTTCTTACCCACCAGGCTTGAAGCTGAACAGGGTTGGCTGGACGTCGATAACTACCAGCTCGTCCCTGTCACCACCGCGATGCCCGACGGCTACAACCTTGACATCACTGCGACAGACGTCGAACACATCTGCCGACAACGCAAGGCCAGCCCTGTCGCCGGCGGGGAACCCCGCGACGCCAGATGCTGTGTCTTTTGCGCGGCAGCTTTTGCCAACAACAACTCCTTCGGGATGGGAGTAAATGTCATGGAAGAGATGAAGAAGGCGGCGGCGGTGCTGAAGATTGTCCTGGAGAAGAACAGTGCACGGTTTAGCGCTAAGCCCCATCGTGACCTTCGCAAATTCATCGTCGACGTTGCTCAGGTCCTGAAGGATGAGCCGGCGATCAAGCTCTTCAGCCATTTTGGCGCGGTAAGGTCCACTGTCTATGACGGCGTGACGAGGCTGCTCAATAGGAAGGGCAAGACGATTTTCCCGCTGGTCTTGTATCGGTGCAACCCTCAAGGCCAGGAAAAGAAGAAGGGCGTCTACTGTTCGTTCTTCTACGACGCGGGGAACCGCATTTATGCCGGTTGGTGGCGAGCCGTGTTCTCCCCCGAGGAGATCGACTCCATTTTCGACGGCGCGTCAGTCAAGGAAGAGGCCATGGGCGACAGGATCGAAGCCATCCTTGGCTTGCTGCACCTCGCCAGCTTCTACAACTACAACTTCACAAGATTTGAATACGCAGACGACATGAAGCACGGGATTGAGCGCTCCATCATCAAGTGCATGATTGGCGGATCAATTGGGCTGCCCACCGAGAACCGCAAGAAGCCTAGCAAGGGCAAAGACCACGGTATTCCCTCCAAGGATCTGGAACAGATCTGCGAGGAGATCGGGGTGCCCATGTTCAAGATCGGTGAGTGCTCTCCCGAGGAGCCCATCTATGCAGCGCTGGAGCCTGGATACGATTACCTCATCGAGTCAGTGCCTCCGCCTACTCCGACTGAATTATCTTCGTCCGACGAGCCCGCCCGTGCTAGCAAGCAATCCGGATCCGCTGGGGAACCCCAGGGAGACGGAAAGGTCAGGGTCAAGGAGGAGGTCATCAAGGAGGAGGTCAAAGAGGAGATCGTGGAGGAGACTGGCGACGTCGAGATGACTGGCACGGTAGAAGTCGACGAGGGCCGCGAGACTAGGCGTGGGTGAAAGAGGAAGATCGCAGGGAAACTCGCAGATCTGGAGGAGGAGATCGCGAAGTTTGGATGCAGTCTTTGCGAGTCCAGCGATCACCATGCCCTCGACTCCCCGAATGACGTCCAGGCGGCCAAGTGTGCGAGGGAAGCCCTCAGCGCACTCGATCGGATCTTCAACATCTCTGACGCCAGTGAAGAAGAGAGATCGACGGAAGGTCCAGGCCAATCCAGCGAAGCTCCTCGTGATGCAAGTGGCGGCGGAACCGCAGCCACCAAGGCTGAATCCCAGAAAGAAATCCAGGAAGAACCACGGTCGGATGCTGGCTGGGGAACCCCAGGCCTCAGCGGGAATCCCTCCTGAGACCGAGGTCGAGGAAGACGAGCAGAAGGGCTCCTACGTCCCGTATGGGCTCCGTGCCGGCAGAGGGATCGAACTGTGATGCTTGACAACCCCATTGATGCCGGTGAGCTTCTCGTCGATGACCAGGGTGGCGAAGGTTACCAGGACGGCAAACTGATCGTTGAAGAAGGGCCTCCGTCCATGACCCACGTGAATGTGTACGCCGCCTCGTACCTCAGCACCCCGCCACTGATTCCTGGTTGCCCTGAGGACAAAGAATTCTGGGATCAAGTTGTCAACGACGGCTATCAGCGATACTACCAACTGGCGGTTGATGTCGTTCCTCCCGGGAGGAAGGTAGCCGTGATCAACAATCGAGATGAATGCCGACTCAACATGTTCAACGACCGCTGGAAGGCGATCTACGGCAGCAGAACGAGAACGAGGGAGAACTTCTCTCTGGGTGAGTCTCAGTACGCGAACCTGCTGAAGGACTTCTCGTTCTGCCTCTGCAGACTGCTTCGCCATCACGTCGGCTACCCTGTCGAAACCAGAGGCAGGAATGTCTCCGCGGAGTCTATCGCGCCACATCCTATCTCAAGTTGGCGTCCATCATTGAGCATGGGTTACAGCCTTCCATGAGGAACAGGTCGGAACTGCACTTCAGCGCCCACGCACCTTGGGACAAGCGCAACGTAAATTGGCCCATCACCATTGGCTATGACCCGCACATCATGGCGATCTACATCCCCATCATGAACCTCATCCCCTACGGAGCATCTCTGGGAATGGTGCCATCCTGGTTGACAAGCCGGTCCCGTTCTCCGAGGTCGCCCACGTGTGGCTTGCGCAGCCAGGGCAGAAGTGGAGGGACAGGGGAAAGTTGATGATCACGCCCGCCAAGAACCCCATCCTGCTCTCCGGCCGTAGTAGTGAGGGATTCCTTGTGCTCACGGCCAGGGATGGGAAGCCTTGCGGGTTTGATGAGACGCTGGAAGCCGCCAGGGAGATCGTCATCAGGATTGATGTCCCCGAGAAGACTCGCGCCAAGTTCCATGAGTTTTCGGTCAAGATGGAGCAGTCAGCCGACAAGCGGCACAACTCCGGCGGCGACACGTTGAAGATCCCCGCTGAGGAGCTGGAGGAGGAGGAGTTCCGTAAAATTGTGGTGTTGCACTCCAAGAGGAGCGAGGAGAAGTGGCATGGTTTGAAGTCTCGATTGTGTCCAGCATGCTTGAAGATCACTCCGGCATCTGTTGTCAAATGCCTCCTTTGCAAGGTGAAGTTCATCGTCCACGGATGCGTCAAGAGCATCATCCCTGATGAGGTGAGGCGCGAATACGAAGTGAAGGAGAGGATCGACGCCAAGGAGGTCGAGAGCATCGCTAACAACATCAACATCGCCATGGCGACCATCGATGAAGAAGATGGGCAAGACGGCCAAGAGGTTCGAGAGATGGAGATCCCTCAGGAGCGATGATGCCCTCCAGCAGACGCTTGCAGAAGAAGCAGCCGGCGTCGAGGCGCAGAACGCCGAGGAGAGGGTTGAAGTGCTCGTATAGCAACACCAACGAGAACGTCGCGATCTGTGTTGACTCTGCCAAAGAGGCCCTCTCTGGCATGAACCTCATTGTTGGCTTGTTCGTCAAGAACTTCCAGGCAATTGGGAAATTCCTCGAGAAAGCCTATGCCGATAAGATCAACGACCTCAAGCAAGGGAATCTGGGGGGATTCATGAGGAACTTCGGCACAAACCTGTCATGGGGCTACGACGGGCTTCCCGAGATTGTGGACCGCATCACCCTTGACCAGGGCTTGGAGGAATTCTATATGGCAGAACATGGATTTCCGGGGCCAACGCAGAACCCTGATCTGAACTCGGTCTCCATTTACAAGCACAGGACGCTTGTGATTTACGCGTTTCTCTTCCGCTTCACAAATCATCAGCGGCTGAGACTGACCCCATCTGCAGGATCATACAACGAGCTCAAAGACGTCCTCACCAAATTGAGGGAAGGTGTCCTCGCCGAGAGGGAGCAGAGGATGAACGAAGCCTCTTTCGCCAAGGGAAAGCTCCTCTCCAGATATTCGGAGATCATCGGCAGAGGCGTTGGGCTCTTTGGGTTCAGGAAATTTTCATTTCTGCGCGAGGAGATCGCTGACGATCCGGCGGGTTTCTACTTGCCCATGATCGGAATGCTTCAGCAGATGGGGACCAAGAAGATCCCCGCGCCTTTGATCGCCCTCTGCCAATATTACGGCAACTTCATCCGCGAAGACATGCCGGTCAAGCTGAAAGAGTACGAAGACCTTCAGGCAGCTGGGCGCTATCGCGGGACATTGGCCATTGGTCAAGACGCCGGAGGCAAGGCCACCTTGAGAAGAACGCCACTGACGTCAAGGCTGGGCAGCCCTCCCCTGCCGGTCGACCAGGAGAATCCGGAGGCGGATCATCATCGTCGACAAAGGGCAAAGACAAGGGGAAGGGTAAGGGCAAGGACAAGGGGAAGGTCGGCTTCAAATCCAAACGGGACGAGCCATACCCCTCGAGTCATGGGGCCCGTGCACCAGCGCCCGGCGGTGGGGAATATGAGCTGCCCAAGGGCAAACCCACCTCATACGGGCCTTCTCCCAGCAAAGCGAAGAAGAAGTAATGTGGCGCGCCTGTGGCGAGGCTCCGCGATGTGGAACCCCAAGCGGAAGCCGCGGGTCCACGACGGGGAACCCCGTGTGGACACCAGCCACAATTTTTTCGGCCATGCTTCAGCGACGTAATCTCCAATTTGAAGAATGCCATCATCAAGAATCTGGGCCGGGGTCTCACGACTTGTTTTCCGTTTGGCCAGGGCACTTTCTTTTACCAGAAAAGCCGGCGAAGCCGGTGGGCGGAAGATTCTTAAAATTATATCAACTATAGGAGCGGGTTGCTTCTTTCTTGTCTTCTCCCTTCTCTTTTCTCTCTTGTCTCGTCAACGCTTCGTCTCTTCTTTCTTGTCTCTTCTCTCTGCTCTTTGCTCTCTTCTCTCTTCTTTTCTGTCTTCTCTTTTCTCTTATCTCGTCTCTTCTTTCTTTTCTTATTTCTCCTTTCTCTTCTCGTCTCATCTCTCTTCTTCTTTTCTTTCTTTTCTCTTCTCCTGTCTCTTTTATCTTCTCTCTTCTCTCCTTTCTCCTTTCTCCTTTCTCCTTTCTCCTTTCTCCTTTCTCTTCTCTTCTCATCTCTCTTCTCTCTTCTTCTTTCTTTTCTCTTCTCTTCTCTTCTCTTCTCTTCTCTTTTCTCTGTTCTTACTTTCTTTCTTTTCTCTTTTTTTAATCTCTTTTCTCTCTTCTCGTCTGATCTCTCTTCTCTTCTCTTCTGTTCTCTTATCTTCCTTTTTCTCCTCTCTTCCCATTTTCCTTCTCTTCTCTTTTCTTCTTTTGCACACATGTTTCCTCTTCTCTTCTCTTCTCTTCTCTTCTCTTGTCTTCTCTTCTTTTGTGCTTAACTTTTGCGATTTTCGAGCTGCAGCTGGAAAAATGTACTTCGAATACTACTTTTGTACTTAACTTTCGCGATTTTTGAGCTACAGCTTGAAAAGTGTACATCGAAAACTACTTTTGTACTTAACTTTTGCGATTTTCGAGCTGCGGCTGGAAAAGTGTACTCCGAATACTACTTTTGTAATTAACTTTCGCGATTTTCGAGCTGCAGCTGGAAAAGTGTACTTCGAATACTACTTTTGTACTTAACTTTCGTGATGTCATGTCTTTGCTGCGAATCGTCGCGCCTGGTCGGCAAAACGTATTTCACATTGCGAAAATGCTGCCCCTGCTACGAAATCTGCACCTCACGTTGCAAAAGTGCTGCGCCTGCCACGCAAAACGCACCTCAAGTTGCGAAAGTGCTGCCCCTGCCACGCAAAGCGTACCTCTAGTTGCGAAAGTGCTGCGCCCGGCACGCAAAACGTACCTCTAGTTGCGAAAGTGCTGCGCCTGCCACGCAAAACGACGTTGCGAAACAGTCCGCGCGTCCGTGCCAATGGGCCCGGCGCCGAACCCGTCCCGAGACCGTCCCGCACCCGCCACAAACAGGCGTCGCGGCAGAGGTGGTTTGCGCGGAGCCGGAGCGCGCAAAACACGCAGAGGGTTGCACTTTGTTGTGATTTCTATTCCCGCGTGCTGCGCCTGCCACGCAAAACATACGGGTCCGGCGCCGAACCCGTCCCGAGACCGTCCCGCACCCGCCGCGAACAGGCGTCGCGGCAGAGGTGGTTTGCGCGGAGCCGGAGCGCACAAAACACGCAGAGGGTTGCACTTTTTTGAGATTTCTATTCCCGCGTGCTGCGCCTGCCAAACAAAACGTACCTCAAGTTGCGAAAGTGCCGCGCCTGCCACGCAAAACGCACCTCAAGTTGCGAAAGTGTTGCCCCTGCCACGCAAAACGACATTGCGAACCAGCGCGGCGTCCGTGCCAATGGGCCCGGCGCCGAACCCGTCCCGAGACCGTCCCGAGACCGTCCCGCACCCGCCACGAACAGGCGTCGCGGCAGAGGTGGTTTGCGCGGAGCCGGACAACACAAAACACGCAGAGCGTTGTCGCGTGCGTCTAGCTACTCTTTGCTCTAGCTACTCTACTCTCCAGCTACTCTTCTCTCCAGCTACTCAGCTACTCTTCTCTCTAGCTACTCTTCTCTATAGCTACTCTTTTCTCTAGCTACTCTTCTTTCTAGCTATTCTTCTCTCTAGCTATTCTTCTCTCTAGCTACTCTTCTCTCTAGCTACTCTTCTCTCTAGCTACTTGTCTCTCTAGCTACTCTACTCTCCAGCTACTCTTCTCTCCAGCTACTCTTCTCTCTAGCTACTCTTCTCTCTAGCTACTCTTCTCTCTAGCTACTCTTCTTTCTAGCTACATTTTTCTCTAGCTACTCTTCTCTCTAGCTATTCTTCTCTCTAGCTATTCTTCTCTCTAGCTATTCTTCTCTCTAGCTACTCTTCTCTCTAGCTACACTTTTCTCTAGCTACTTTTCTCTTTAGCTATTCTTCTCTCTAGCCACTCGTTTCTCTAGCTACTCTTCTTTCTAGCTACTCTTCTTTCTAGCTACTCTTCTTTCTAGCTCTTCTTCTTTCTAGCTACTTTTCTTTCTAACTACACTTCTCTCTAGCTACTCTTCTCTCTAGCTATTCTTTTCCTTGGCTACTCTTCTCTCTAGCTACTCTTCTCTCTAGCTACTCTTCTCCCTAGCTACTCTTCTCTCTTGCTACTCTTCTCTCTAGCTAATCTTCTTTCTAGCTACTCTTCTCTCTAGCTACTCTTCTTTTAGGCTACTCTTCTCTCTAGCTAAACTTCTCTCTAGCTACTCTTCTTTCTAGCTACTCTTCTCTCTAGCTGCTCTTCTCCCTAGCTACTCTTCTCTCTAGCTATTCTTCTCTCTAGCTACTCTTCTCTCTAGCTATTCTTTTCCTTGGCTACTCTTCTCTCTAGCTACTCTTCTCTCTAGCTACTCTTCTCCCTAGCTACTCTTCTCTCTTGCTACTCTTCTCTCTAGCTAATCTTCTTTCTAGCTACTCTTCTCTCTAGCTACTCTTCTTCTAGGCTACTCTTCTCTCTAGCTAAACTTTTCTCTAGCTATTCTTCTTTCTAGCCACTCTTCTCTCTAGCTACTCTTCTCCGTAGCTACTCTTCTCTCTAGCTATTCTTCTCTCTAGCTACTCTTCTCTCTAGCTATTCTTCTTTCTAGCTACTCTTCTCTCTAGCTACTCTTCTCTCTAGCTACTCTTCTCTCTAGCTACTCTTCTCCCTAGCTACTCATCTCCACTACTCTTGATTTAACTTTCGTACTACGGAAGTTCCTTCTAAACTTTCTTTGATAACATAACGTGCACACCCGACATTTTGGTGCCCCCCGAGACACAACGTCACGCGGGTCAAGGGGGGTTCGTTCAGGGGTGCGCAAACATACGTACAATCATGCAATTTGAGGCCAGTGGGCGGACTCTCTAGGTGGATATCACCGCCCATCTTGGCTCAAGGTCAACGACTTTGCAATATTTTCCCTAGGACATTAGGGCGCCATAACAACCAAACCCTCGGCGAGAAAACGGGGCACGTCCTGCGCGGCCGCTGCGGGTACGGGGAATCCAACAACAACCTGCCCATCATTGCTGCGAACGTATATTAAGCCTTAATAAGCTTTAATAAGCAGAAATAAGCCTTATTTTCTTGTTTTGTATTTTCGGCTTATTAAGGCTTATTAAGGCGAGATAAGGCTTAATAGGCCCATGTCATCTTGCCAGCCTGAACCAACGCAACTCCACTGCAGCGTTTGGTTGCTCGATGCTTTGCCGCGATTGCTTTTTTTGGAAGCAGAGTCAAGGCGGTGAATATCATCACCCATGAGCACCATAGCGCAAACAAGACCCCGGAATCGGCAGACAACTTGTGAAGAACATCTGTTTTGGAAACATTTGGGTTGATAGGGAAAGGGGCTGACTGGACTAATTACCCACCGGCCTCTTTGGATTGCCTTATTTTTTGGCGGGGGAGCCGTTGAATTGCGGCAGGGGGGCAATTTGACGGCACCCCCCCCCAAAAAAAATAAATAAATAAGACCCTCCGACTGTCCCAGGACAAGGCCACAAACCAACTGGTCTGCGCTATGGGCCCCTGAAGCATGGCGGCCCCCGGAATTCATAGATATTGATTTGTTCTTCTCCTGCTGCCCGATACCTTTCCTGTCAGATGAAAGTCCAAATATGTTTTCGGCCCAGAAATTCTGCAAGTGAGACAGGCAACCTCAGTCAGCCGACACTCTCTGTCTCTCTCTGTCTCTATCGCTCTTTCGCCCCCTCTATTTCCCTATTTTTTTTGAGGGGGAGTCTAGGGGGGTAGTGTTCCACTTGCTGACACATACGCACACGCGCACACACTTTCAGACACAGACACAGACACGCGCAGACACAGACACAGACGCAGGCACAGACACAGACACAGACACAGACAGACACAGACACAGACACACAGACAGACACAGACGCACACAGACGCAGACACAGACGCGCGCACAGACGCACACACACACACGCACACGCACACGCACGCACGCACCCTTGCACACTTGATTCATTACAACTTAGGCACCTGATGTTCACCCGGGTGAGCCAAAGCTCAGTCTGCTCCCTCGGAGCTGTGAGTGCATGTACTGTCTCAACGGCTTCTGGTTTGAAAGGACCGCAACAAGCAACCAACCAGAGGGTCCACTGAGCAGGTACACAAGTCTCCGTCCCGACTTGCTTCACGACATCTCTGGGTGGTCTTCGTTGGGCAGTGCGCCCCAGAGTGTCCACTGCCCCCCTGCTGAGGATCCACTTGTCCAGTGAGACACGGCGACGTGGTTGACCCTTTGGTACAGGGCTTTCACACACACAGCCCCCAGCAGTGCTGGGGGCACCAAACCACAGTGACCAGAAAGAAGGAGAAAAAATGCACAAAAGAGGGGCGCCGAGGGGACCGGAAGGCAAACAGAGGGGAGCCGAAACCCAGAAAAAGGAGGGCCACCAAGCAGAAAAGGACAGAAAAAAGACAGAAAACATAAAAGGCTGCTGAAGTGCAAGTCGCGGCCTTTTCCCGCACGGTCCTGTCTGCGCCGAACTAGCGTTTCTGGAGGGCTTCCCACTTGTCCTTCGCCTCTTGTGGGGTTTTACTCACTCGGCGCGCCACCACTGCCCAGCTTGGCCGTGCACGGGCATCCGTCTTGGACGTCACCAGGGTGTGAGCTGCTCGGCTGTCCACCCATCCGCCT